GTTTGGCGATGTGGTGTCGTGCGTACGCTGGCCTTGGCTGGTCACGCCGTGTGGCACCTCAAATCACTCGCGGACTCAACTTTAATTTACGGCACTCGCGAGTAAAAGTTCGCGGTGATGATGTTCCGTCAGCGAGAGAAGTTCCGTGAGCGGAATGGTCTGATCTAAGTTGAGAGGCCAGGTTCTGAGATCGAAGAGAAGAGAGCGATCCGGGAAAGTTCCCGGTTTATATAGGAGATCTCAAGGGATGTGGGATGTCTCAAGTCGAAAGAATTTGAGTCTCATTGGCAAGATGATATCGATGAGGTTATTCCCGATTCGTTAACCCTCACTTAATCTAGTTGAAATAATTCACTCCGCCCGTCTTACATTGTTATGTCTTACAGCTATTGGTTGAAGAGGTTACAGTTTTTGGTGAGACGCTACCCTCTCCATTTCGATTTTAGTTTGATTGGTCATCTATTGGGGCTTCGTTCTAGCGCGATCCCGAAATTTGGGGGTGCCTATTTCTACTTGAAAAGCACTGTTTTTCTAGATATCTATTAGTCACCGATTTCTCCTGTTATCGAGTGACCCTGAGATGATAGTTAAAAACAGATAAATCACCTTTTTTCCTGAGGAGATAATGAAATTTAGAAATCTTGAGTTTGTTTTGGGATTAAATTTTATTACATCCCTTTGTGAGTTTTTATAGTTCCGCTGCGACGGTATGTCTAAACAGTATTTGTTTTTCTTATATCTTGGAACATATGGATCTCGAGCGCATTTTGAAATCGAATTTTACTGCCGCGGATAATACATATATATAAAAAAAGGTTTTTATCTGTTTTCGGAATTCTTCTGTTAGAAATATCTCTTGTTTGTTCCGATAATTTGAAATAAATCTTCATAAAATGTTTTCTCGAAATAAATTTTCCCAAGGAGACAGACAACGGTTGATTTCGTTGGGTCGATGTTTGTTCGCCAATTGATGACCAATAAGCTTTATTTTATTCTAAATCCCTTATCTAAGCGAACGTTTGCGAACGGAGAAATCGTGGAGTCCACCGGACGTAACAAGTGTACATTTAATATTTATTGTTTTACAGATTCCAAAAGAAGAAAGATTAATACTATTGAAGAATACATATCATACGACAAGGAACAACAAAAAAACAAGCAAGAAATTCGGAAAAAACATCATGATGAAAAATTGGCTGCTTTTCAACGAATAGAAAATCAAATATACGAACTAATAGAAACTATGAAAAAAAAGTAAAATTAGGCTAATAAGACAAATGAAAATAAGTTTTTATATTACGTTCCATGTTTTTATTTTATTTTTAAAAGTTTTTATAGAAACTTTGTTTACACTACTTTGTTTATAAAGTTGGAGTTTAAGTGTTTAGTTTTAACACAATTAATTTGAGACAAGTCCAAACGAACGGTCATAGCAGACTCTTGGTTTTCGACGCAGTTCTTACTTAAAACTTAATTGTGTTGAACACAAATATGGTTTACATATCGAATATATATATATTTTTTATAGTTTTATTTGAAACGTGATAGTAATGTGATTATTACTTTTTTTAGTTTATTTTTTTCAAATCTATCATGTCGAATCTGACGGCTGAAAACTAAAATAAGCAAGAAGCTAAGAAAGTAAGAAAAGTATTGGTACTATGCTTAGTAATATTAGATTGTGATATTAGACTAAAAATAGACTGATGTAATATATATTATTACTGTTACGCCCGTGTCTACGTCCGCGTCGTTCGATGTACCAGCGAGCCGGTCCAGCTGTCGGATGTTTCCCTAACGACGCGTTGTCATCTGTCAAACGGATGACATTAGATTTGGAGACGAGCCGTCGACTCGTTCGGACGTGCTTTACTCTGTTCAATCTTTTCGCCACGTTCTCTGTTCTTACAATTACAATAAAGCGTGTTCCTTGTGTTTCTAATTGGTGTTCCTTCTTATTTCTCCGCGACCTTCCGGTACGCGTGCGCGAACGCGGGTGCGGAAGTGGAAACGTTACGCGGGCGAGTGCGTGATCGCGAGATACACCGCCCCGGGCGTAACATTACAATTAATTTTTTCATTTCTTTTTCGGCCGTCTGTGGTGTTCCTCCTTAAATATATTAAGATAGTATAGTATGTTGATATTATGTTATTATGTATGATACATTATGTTTTATAAATGCAATATATTAAGTACAAATTATGAGATATGTAACGTCGAACATGCTTTAATTACATGTGTAGCATTATGGCAATAGTGGCAATGAAACTGTTTTCTTAAGCAACATAAATACATAAAAAATAGATTTTAAATATGTGTCACCTTTTTTCATAATAATTTACACCTGTAAACTAATGCTTTTTTCAAAAACTTAATATTCATTAATACATAACTTATTTTAGTAACTACTTAAATAATATATCATTTGTATTTATTCTTATATGAATTAAAGACAGGAACGGTAATTATAATATATGTATATTTTTATTTGAGTCTTTTATTCTTATAAACATATTACATTAACTCATTAGAAATTATTAAAAAAAATTATAAGAAATTTATTCTTTTGTACATTAGTTAAATATCTGGCAATAAATACATAATTGCGTTTCTTTTCTTTATACCTTCTCTTTGTGCAGCATTGCCTTCTAATATTTGTGATTCTTGTACAATATTAGGCTCATTATTAACAAAAACAGGAATATCTATCATATCACCACGTAGCAAACAAATATTGTGCAAAATGCAACAAGCAATAATATACTTGGGAATTAAGTCTGTTCTTTGCATAGGAAGTGTATCCAGAATACTTCTAAAACGGCCTTTTAATAGGCCTAATGATCGTTCAACCAGGATTCTGGCAGAGGAGTGACATTTGTTAAACTTTATTTGTCTTTCGGATAGATGACCGTTATCTTTAAATGGTACTATAATATGTTTTGATAGACTATATGCTGCATCACCAAGTATATGGCTATTATGTGGAAAATTTGCATCTGTGCACAAGCTTTCAACATTAGATAATCTAAAAACACGCATGTCGTGGACGGAACCAACTTGTCCTGTGTAACAATGAATAAATCGCAGTTGTACATCACAGATAACCTAAAACCAATATTAAAGCTAAATATTTACAAAATGTTACTAAACTTAAATATTTACATAGCTAATAAATTTAAATTTTTAATAAGCATATACCATACACACACCAAATATTACCCAATAGTAAATTGAAATGAATTTATAACTCCAAAAATGTATTAATTAAAATATTATAAATATTATATTAACATAAAACTTACTTGTAATTGAATGGAATGAAATCCTTTCCTGTTTATGTAGGAGTCACTGTGATTTTTTGGTGCACTAATTTTTATATGGGTTCCATCTATTGCACCAATAACACCTGGGAAACCATATGACTGTTGGATTTTTTCCATATTTTGTTCTGCTTCTTGTAAAGTTGGCCAACGAATAAACATTCCCACTTTTGCATATAAGGCATTAACAACTTTATGTACACATCGCCAAGCAGTAGCTTTACCAACGTCAAATCTATCTGAAACACATTTGAACAATTTATTTGGTAAATGTTATTAATATAAATTTATAATTATTATTTGATAATTTATATACTACTAACCTATAAGAATTTGGTGTAGCCATCATCCAAACAGCAATAAGTAATTGTTTTTCAGGTGTTATTGATTGTCTTCCAAATCTCTTGCTCTGTTTACGTAGTTTTGGTCCTAATAATTCCAATAAAAATTGGAAGGTAGTTCGTTTCATTCTAAAACAAAGAATAATTATTTTTGTAGCTTTCCTTTATATTATGAATAGATCAGCAATATTGTTTATACTAGTTTTATCTAATTGTTTCATTTTAATATTTGTTACAATTAATAATAAATACTTTATGTAATCTGATGAGTATGAATATTGCAAAATCTGTCAATAAAAAATATCACTAATTTTACAATAATATATATTTGCTTTTATATGTCTATAATCTATCTAAATAACCAATGTACATAACCTATATATAACCTAGCTATAATATAACTATCTATCTATTTAATTACAAAATTTTATTTATATTATTAATTCATATATATACTTACCGAAAATGCATTTTGAATTCTACACCTGTGTATGAAGAAACAATATTTTCAACATAATTTTTGCACCGTGCATGTGGCATTCGATTTCCATTTTTTATTGCTTTTAATATTAATGGTATATTTTGTTCTTCATCTGACGAATCGCTGTCCAATAATTCTAAGCATCTTGTAAGCTCCGATATCATAATTATTTTGATATTATCATGAATTTCCATTCTTGCTAATACACAGGATATATTTTAAAATTGCCGGTAGATGTAAACAACAGTACTGTGGATATCGTTCCGTTATTCTATCGCTATGTACGGAAAAATCAGTCTCAGTAATAACGTTCTTAAAGCTCTGCTAAATGACGTCATAGGCGCCAGTACTTGCAGTGAATATCGGAACGCACCCTGTGGCTCCGTCCATGCTTGGTTGGATGCGTGGGTAGATGCTTGGGTGGATTCGTGGGGGAAATCGCGGGTGAATGCGGGAGTTGGGCATGCTTGGATACGACGGTTAAACTAAATTAATAAAAATTTCAAGGTTACAAATGAAATTTATTTTAAAAATAAATAATTGTTATTAATATATGATAGTTTAACATGTATATAATTAAGTTAA